TTGTAAAACTCGTCGATCGACACAATTAAATTTTTTCTTAATTGTCATCTCAGTCGTGTACAAATTTGCCGCTTCTTAATCATGTATGGGCCTATCAATTGGTTCCATAAATAGGTACTAAGACCTTACTCCGAAGGATTGTGTAGAGACACCAAATCTACTCCTTGTGTGTAACATCGCGATGTCAGCGCTATAACGGGATTTATCATCGTTAAACGCATTCATTATTTTTCTTTGAACCAAATCTCTTCCATCCTCCAAATAATAATACCAAAAGCAAATACACGCGGACTTTATAAAAATACGTTTATTGGTACTAGTCTTCACATCCATATATCGATAAAATTGCGATGTACAGTTTCAAATTTTCTCCGCAAATTTATTTTACTGTTGATTATATGGTGTATGCAAATGGAGGATCTAAGATTTCTTATGAAATCTTCAATGAAGTATCTGACCAACTGTATTATCGTTATGGCGCCATATCACGTCAGAACTTCATCAACAAACCATTTTCTATAATAGGTTTGTACGCTTTCTCACTATGTCTTCATTTTTATAAATTAGGTCAATCAATTTTCATTTTTGAAATTCCATTTCGAAGCGACGGCCCAAATTATCTACTTCGATTATTTCAAATAAATTAATGGTATCAATCAGCTGCAGCATTTCTTCATTTAACTGACATGACTCAGTTATTTAATAACTTATGATTGACTACACAGTGAGTTCAAAAATTCTTTAATTTTATCTCTTTCTAAATCCTAATTGAGTTCCGGATTACTCATTGTCATGTTAGTCTTCTAGGATTTGTCTTTTAAAATCTCCTAATAATCATGATTATCTTCTTCTATTAAATCTCGTCTGATGAAACTTCTTTTATTTCTCTTTTGAATCCCATTCATTGTATTTTGAATGTTTTTTCGTGTTTTGATCCCCAAAGAAATGTAATACCTTTCTTTGTTAATGCTGTATAATGTTTAGCTTTTTTCTTTAATGTTAGTTTTTCTTCACGTATCTTAGTATCTAATATGTCAGCAGATATTCATTATGGTTTTCATGTGTGCCAAAATCTGTTGTCTGAACCATTTCGATATGCCAGTAACCCCAAGTCACATCAAGTGTTTTAAAATAACGAGCGCCTTAAGGCGGTCTAACACTTCAGTGATTCGTCATCCGCAATTTGTCATCTATAGCAATATCGTTGTCTTCTATAATTTATGCTTAATTGTTCTCCACCGTCTTTCTATGATACCATAATAACCAGGAAAGCATATTGGCTATTCTTAATTTTACGTCCTTTGCCTTCTCTCGAATCATTTTTACAATGACGTCGTATTCATTTTAATGTCGGCGGTAAGGACTGAGTCAAATTGCGAAACCGTAATAATCTTGTGCTTAACAACTAGAATTCTTCAAATGTCTGTGTCGTGCTGTGTGAAAACACGTCTATGTTTACATAATGCGAGCGGTAACGTTACGACTGCTGAAGTTTACAGTTAAACCAAGTCGTATACCAACATCAAGTCCAAATAAGAGCAGGTCCAAATTAACTAGTACGTGAAATGTAGTTTGCTTTGATGTACCAGTAGATGGCTTCGTAGCATTCGTGTTTACATTTACTATTCTCATGACAAGTTGTATGGTATCGTTATTGTCAGCCATTATTAAAATAATTACTTATGTTTTAACGTAGTGTGGTTGTTAGGTGTTGGCTTCATCTTGATGCTCATGCGTTTAAATGAGCGTTGAGTACATAAAATGGTTTATCAGTTCAGTATAATGTATTGAATATAAGCAGTGATACATGTATACACAGCGCTATCGGCCACTACAATAGAGTTCTATAGTTTATGATTACTTTGCTTTGTATTTTGGGAGTGCAATAGAACTATGCCTCACGTCCCATAGACTAGCGTTTTGTCATAAACTATGTGTCCGATAACATACGTGAATGTATAACCGATATACCAAATGTATAGCTATACTGATTTAACCAAATTATGTAAACGGTTTAAAAATTACCAATGTGCTTTAATCAGTATATTCGATCCACGACGAAAGGTTGAAGTTCAATGTATGTATATACCAGCTACGCCCAAAGCCATATGGCTCGGACTCAGCGCCAGTCTGGTTATGTTAATCTCTTTTATTCAAATTCTTTAGTACTGTCACCAAATGCGAGTGACTTTTGGTTTATACGTCTCTAGTAATTACGTATTATTCGGATATTTGGTTAGTTCATTTCAGTAGTTTGTATAACATATCGGTGAATCCATAAATTTGTATTTTGTGGAAATTTGCATCCTCCACTGCTTCCACCAAATGTAAGCAACATTAGGTTAAAACGTATTTTGTTTCTTTTAGGATTTCGTATCCTCCAACGATGTAACCAAGTGTAAGGAACATGTGGTTAAGCGTGTTGTGTTTTTTTTGTGGAATATCGCATCCCACCATCGCTGAAACCAAATGTAAGGGACATTTGGTATATACGTATTGTTTCTTTTGGGTATTCGAAATCCTCCAACGCTGCCACCAAATGCAAGGGAAGTGGGGTTATCACGGGTCTATTTTATATGTGAACACTATGAGTGTCCACTAACCCGTGATGTAAACCCTACTATTACTTAAAGATTAAGCCCTTACTTTGCCCTGCACGTACCAGCATTATTAACTGTAACGGTATGTGGCTTAAGGAGCGAGCGGATCTCCTATCACTGGTTGTGTACAAAGCTATATGTGTTGATTTGTGTATTTAGTCGACCGACTGTTTTAGTTTATGCTGTTTCTTGCATAAACTATCCGTATAATACTACCGTACGGATATCCAACTGATTGGTACAAAGTCTAGTTTTAAGGTCTGTTTAGTAAACATGTTTTCCTTGATATCTCCATAACTACTTGTCATACTGGTCTCCAACAAGTACCATTGGTATCAGTACATAAAACCCGATTTCCAGATCTCGATGACCTTGACCTTGTATAGGTGATCTTGACCTTGGACATGTGACCTTGACCTTGGACGTGTGACCTTGACCTTGGACGAGTGACCTTGACCTTGGACATGTGACCTTGACCTCTGACCTCTGACCTCTGACCTCTGACCTCTGACCTCTGACCTCTGACCTCTGACCTCTGACCTCTGACCTCTGACCTCTGACCTCTGACCTTCGACCTTCGACCTTGGTCAGTGGACCAGGTGGTCAGTATAACAGTTGACCAGTTTGTCTTGTGACTTATTACTATATCTGAGTTAACGTAATAAGTGGACGACTCCCATCGACGCGGCGTTCGATTGCTATCCTTTATGTTAACTGTATCCTATAGGACTGTTGAGCCTGTAGGACCAATGGGCCTGTAGTGAAGCCATATGTGATCCATAATACCATCCATGACGTAATCCATGGTGTACTTCCATGACTCAATCGATAATGTTATCCATGATGTAATCTTTCTTGCGGTCAGCTTTCATCAGTATAACATCGATAGTGTAATCCATGACGCAATCCAAGACCACCAGCCGCGACGAGTAAGTAATACACACAAAGTAATATGCAAATACTTTTATTTCATCTTATAAACAGTTATACATTGTAGTACTCCCAGAGAAACTCCGAAGAGATCTCCGAAGAGAACTGAGAACTGATCTCAGAAGAGAACCCACTTTGGTGTCTGAAAGACACCTCTATTTATACTAAAGTGTACGTGAGAAATAATCAGGTCGTATTGAGTCAGCTTTAATCCCTGGGCGTAAACTATTCATTTTTCTGTATAACATTTCAATACATTATTTTAACTGTGAAATACAGAGTAAAAATAAAATAAAACTTTGCTTAAAAGTAGGAGTTTACTACTCACTGTTCTGTATAACATTTCAATGCATTATTTTAACAGTGAAATACTAAATAAAAATAAAACAAAACTTTGCTTAAAAGTAGGTGTTTACTATTCACTTTTCTGTAAAACACTTAAATACATTTTTAAAAGTGAATTCTAGATTTTAGTATTAAGCAAACATTGGTTTGCAAATATAATTAATTAAATAAAAATAAAACTAAGCGTTGTGTTAAATTCACTTTAGTAAATTTAAACACAAACAAAAATCACTTTTGTATTGAAATAATTATAGCTTTAAAACATTAATCAGTATATCATTGCAATGGCACTGACTACTTATAACAATATATATATATTACAAAAATTATTTTCATAAATAATTATATTTATAGCAATAGTTTTCTAATTAAAAAAAATAATTAAATGCAATAATAGTAGCAATTTGTACTTAATTATTATTATAATTAAATTGAACTAGACACATAAAATAAATAAATATATTATCTTATTTGTTTTTAAAAATCTATTGTACTATTATATTGTATTAATATTAATTATATATATATATATATTATTTTTTTGAATGATAACTAAATAATAATTATTAATCAACAATTAATTTGGAAATTTTAATATACGAAAAAAATTTATAGTATTATTAAATATTTTTAATTATAATGTTAACAAAAAAATTGATTTATTATTTACTAAAAACAAGTGATAATATAGTAAACAAATTGTAAAATTGATAAATAAATAAAACACAAAAATAATCAGTTATTATAATTAGTACTTTTTAGTACTAATTATCACTAGTTATTTTTTTAAAATAAAAATATTGCATTTTAAAAATGTATTAAATATTTTTATGCTTAAATTTTTCAGAAAATAAATAAATAAATAAACTATAGTTAGTTGAAAAGTTTAAATTTAAATAATAATAAAATAATTCAATTAATATTGAAAAATATCTATTAATTAATTTATTTATTGTTATTAATATTATATTTTTTATCATTTAATAAATCAATATTTAAAAAAAAACAAAAATGCTAATAAAATTAAAGTAATAATTAATAATAAAATAATAATAATCAGTAAAAATTTAATTTTATTAACTAAAACTATTAATATATTTTTATTTAATTAATTAAAAAATTTACCAAAATATCTTCGATAGATATAAATTGCAATTGATGCAATTAGCCAACCGATAAGACTCCCGATGCCATTGGACACAAACGGCGGTCCGGGTATGACTAGGCCGCCTATAATCCCTCCCAGTGTCGCACAGGCACCCCTGATGTGTCGGTCCATTATTATTATTATTATTATTATTATTACTATAACTATTACTATTATAACTATTACTATTATTAATATTATTATTAGTTTTTAAAAAAACTTTTTTATAATAAAAAAAAACAAAAAACAAAATCAAAAATCAAAATTAAATTTCAAAAAATACAAATCAATAGTTTTTTAGAAAAATTTTATTTTAATAAACAGTTTTTTACAGTTTTTGTGTTTTTTAAAAAAAAACTAATTATATAATACTATATAATAATAATAAGAAAAAATACAGTACATTATTAGTGTATCAAGGTACTATTAATACATATATTCTATACACTGTATACTACATTTGAAAATATAATATAAACGTAATTTATTGTTAAAAATTATTTTATTTATTTATTTACAGTTTTATTATTATTTATATTATTATTATTATTATGTATTCAATTCAATGCATAACTTAGTTATTGATTCGATAAACAATATTAACAACAATTAAAACTACTATTAATTCAATTGTTTTTTTTGTTTTTGTTTTTTTTTATTTGTCAATCAATTGATTGATTCATTGATTTAATAAAACTATTGATTTTGAGTCCAAACACAACAAACAAATGCTCGCAATTCATGTGCGAGCCGTAGTCGGCAATGTTGGCCACCGATCTGGCCATCGATTACGGGTGTCGTCATCATCGGTGGTAACCGCTGTCCTATTCAACAACAACAACAACAACACCAACATATTGACGGCAGCGGCCGTAACTTGTGGCCATCAGTTTGATGTCGTCGGCCGCCGACACTATTCCCAACAACAACAACACATTACCCGATTGGCCGAAGTCGGCCGACTCGAACAGCCGAAAATGGACGGCAAGTACGATACCGGGCAACTGTTTTTGCATCGGGTGTTCGGCTATCGCGGCGTAACACTGTTTCCGTGGATGGCCCGGGTCTACGATCGCGATGTCAATCACAATAAGACACCGACGACGACCACTACGACAACAACATCGACGACACGGTAATCATATTCAACGGCTTTTTTATTGATCTAATCAATTGATCCAATTGTTTTGTTTTTGTTGTTTACAGTCCATTAGCTGCCGATGAGGCCGCTATTGGTTCGACCACCGCTGCGGCCAATGATGACAGCAGCAGTAGTAACGCCAGCGGCTATAATACAGTTGGCCGCGAGGTTAGAGGTCATACACATACCTACTATCAGGTTAGTCATCGTCGCCGCCGATCTGATTCATTCAATGATTGATTGATCCGATTGATTGACCACTACTTTATCAATACTGTTATTAATGATTGTATTTATTGTTTGTTTGTTTGTTTATTTATTACCCGAACTCCAGGTACTCATCGACTCCCGTGACTGTCCTTTTGTGGTAATACTAACAGTGATAATGATTTTACTGGTGTTTAACCTCCCGTTTTCATTGTATATATTTGTATATATTAGCGGACACAGACCGAAGCCGTAACTTTTCTGGGCAATCAAGAAAACAGCCGATCCCTGTACGCCATCCCGGGGCTGGACTATGTAGCCCACGAAGACATACTGCCGTATACGTCGACAGAGAAGCAGCCCATTCAACACGAACTGTTCGACAAGTTTTTGATGGTCGACCCGGAAAAAGATCCGCCGTATAGTCCGCGGGAAACGTTGAGAGCCTGGCAGGAGAAGAATCATCCGTGGCTCGAGTTGTCCGACGTTCACAAAGAGACTACCGATACGATTCGGGTAACTGTTATACCGTTTTATATGGGATGTCGTAACTCGCAAAATGCTAACGTCTATTGGGTAATACATAATTCACAGCCGACTGACTATCCGTTTACTTCAATTGGATAATTACCGGTAGTTTTTTGTTGTTTATTATTATTAGTGGCGATACTGTATACGATTGGAAAACTTGGGCGATATGGCCGTACAGCTTCGGGAACGCCATTGGCGTATATTTAGTTTGTCCGGTACTCTCGAAACGGTTAGAGGACGCGGTGTTGTTGGACAGGTATGTGTGTCAGTGTGTGTGTGTGTATGTATGTGTGTGTGTATGTGTGTGTGTGTATGTGTGTATGTATGTATGTGTGTATGTGTGTATGTGTGTGTGTGTGTATGTATGTATGTGTGTATGTGTGTGTATGTATGTGTGTGTGTATGTGTGTGTGTGTATGTGTGTATGTATGTATGTATGTGTGTGTGTATGTGTGTGTGTGTATATATATATTTGTTTATCTATGTGTGTGTGGTGTCTGAATGTTAATTATAAGTTTTTTATTTATCGGTAAATTATTTTAATAATAATAATTTTTATGTTATTGTGTTTTCTGTTTTCAGGAACCGGTACTGTCAAAGTCGTTTCCAGCCTTTCAGTATAGTAGTCACGTTAGCCTACAGGCGCCCAGTGGTCACATGTGGTTAGCATTAAAACATATACAGTTATTTGTGTTTATTTTTTTGGTAATTTAATTATTAATTATTTTGTTTTGTTTTTATCTCTCGGGTTAATGATTTTAGGGGTACATTCAAGATGGAGAAAGAGGACGGAACGACATTTGACTGCCGTATACCTCCCTTTACACTGGAAAGCAAACCCGATGCCAATAGTCCGTCACCTAATGCTAATACATGAGCCGCCGATATATATATATATGATATGATATAATACTAACTAAATATTTTTTAAAACTTAAAATTTAGTTTATGTTATCATAAAAAAATATAATTTATATCTACTTTTTAACGTTATATAACAAAACAATATATATATATAAATATATATAAATTACAAATTTTTTTCTAATATGTAAATTTTTTTATTAGTCATAAATTAAATGATTTATTAATTATAATTATAATTAAATAAATGTATAGACTTTTTGTTTGTTTTTTTTTGTTTAATTAACTTAATTTTTTGTTCTTAATTTAATTTAATTACAAATATAATGATATTTTTATTTTTTTTTTGATTTAATGTTTTGTTGATATGTTTACAACAACAAAAAAATATTATTAATTCAAAAAAATCTTGAATATAATAGTTTAATACTATAATAATAATACAAAATATTTTTATTATATATATATATTGAAATATATCTAATTTTTTTGTGTCAAATGAATGTTTGGAAATAATAATAAGTTATGTTTTGATTTATTTTTTTTTAGTTTAATTGATTGAATGATTGATTGATTGATTGACTTATTTGTCGATAAATGTCAGTTCCGTTACCAGAGACAAGTGATCGGACGGATACCAGGGATTAGGTATAGGTTTAGTCAATAGCTTACTGTCCACTGATAGTACAGATTTAACTGAAAAACAATCTTTTCGGACAAATATATAGTCCAATGTTTTCTTCAATTGTCGTTCGCCCTGACGTTTAGTCCATGTAGTGAATGCCGGTTCCGAACCCAAGGCTTGCCTATAAACCGATGACAACACTGAGGATGTGGTAGACGTCAGGTGCCTGTAGACCTGTTCCTGGGGTTCGGCATTAAAATCGCCGCAAACAACTAACGGCATATGTTTTGATTTTTTCAACAAATATTTTAGTAGATCTTTGCCTAAAAAAAAACAAACAAAACAAAAAATTAATTAATTTTTTTAATTACCAAAAAAAAATAATCAAATTAGGCGTGATTCACATATTACGTTCGCACTTGAGGGGAGGGTGGGGGGTTAACTAAAGCAAACTTTTGCTAACGAGAGGGGAGGGGAGAGACATTAAGAACGTTCGCCTATAGATAATATTTTATTTCTGTGGTGGTGTGGGGTGGGGTATGAGATAACGGTTAGGGATATGCAAACGTAATTTTTTTAAAATTTCTACATTGCGAACATAGGGGAGGGAGGGAGGGGTCTAGATTTTTTAAAAAGTGCGAACGTAATATGTGAACAACACCTTACGGGTATTACTATATTTAGTTTTATTTTTTGTTGGGTCAGTCATCCATACAAACCTTGTTCATTACGATAGGCCGATAGTATAGGTCCGCGTCTGGCTTTCAGGTGAGTATTGGCTATACAAACATACCGTCCCGATAGGCGATGTTTGAATGTAGCCGTCAGTACCACTTGATTGGTCTTATAGGAGTAGACACGCAAAATACGTTTGGAGTATTTGATTAGGTCTAGCCTATCGGTACGCCAGAATATGGCGCAACCGTCGGGTCCCGAATTGTTGGCCATATAATTGCATGGCGAGTCGGGTTTCGGTACAAATATACCGCCATAGCCCAGTTGGCTTAGTATACTGATCAGGTAGTCAAAACAGTCGACCTGTTTTTTTTTAAATATATATATTTATAAATCAATAATTAATTAATAATAATTAAAAAAAACATATATATATATATATATAATTAAAAAAAAAGTTATGCGAAAACAATAAATATATATTTTTGAATAAAAAAAATTATTGAATCATTTGTTTGTTATATTAGATAATTTTGTTATTTTTGTTAAACAAAAATTTTTTTAAAAATTTATTTATATCAATCAATCAATAATTACTTAATAATAATCATAATAATAAAATATATATATAATTTTTTTTTTATAAAAAAAAGTTATGCGAAAACAATAACAACAATAAATTAAAAAAAAATTGTTGAATCATTTGTTTGTTTGTTATATTATAGATAATTAGTTATTTTTTTCACTAAAAAAATTTATTTATATATATAAATGTATTGTTTTTTTTGGTTATTGTTATTTAAAAAATACTTATTTAAATATTATTTAATTAAATAAAATTAATTTTATTTGTGTGTAATATATAGGACATACCTCTTGCATACAAATGACATCAATGGTCGAGTAGTTGACTATTTCTAATACAATCTTCCAGATTCTTGACGACCATCTTAGCTGATCCTCTGGTAATGTCTCAAATCGGTCATAATTGATGGCCAATGCTATTGATTGATTGGATTGATTGGTATTTTTTTATATAAAAATAATTAGATATATATAGATATTTTTATAGATATAGACCAAAAAAAATGTTTATCAATATTATTTTTTTTTATTAATAACACATGTATTTAAATGATATTATTGTTGACATTTAAATTTAAATGCAATAATCAAATAATTGGGTCAATGTTTTACTACTACTACTACTACTACTGTATATATGATATTATTAACTCCCGGTTTCCTTAACCCGTAAAACAAGTTATAACTTATAATAACTCTCTCACTCTCTCTCTCTCTCTCTATCTTTCTCTCTCTCTCTCTCTCTCTCTCTCTCTCTCTCTCTTCTCTCTCTCTCTCTCTCTCTCTCTCTATCTATCTCTCTCTCTCTCTCTCTCTCTCTCTCTCTCTCTCTCTCTCTCTCTCTCTCTCTCTCTCTCTATCTTATCATAACTTTCGTCAACTGTTTACTTATTTAATCATCAAATCATTGTTTTTGTATTTTTGTCATCAAAAAAAAAAAATAATACTAACATAATAAACAAACTGTTGTTTTTTACATAAATAAATAATTACTTAATAATAATAGAAAACTTTTTTTTAGTAATTTTTTGTTGTGGTCTGTAACTGTTTGTAAACTGGTGTAACTGTTTGTAGTAATGTTTTCTAATTAATTATATAAATATATTTTCAATACTAATAATAGATACATACCTTCGGAACAGATATTCCAAGACATTATACGAAGTCCGTCACCATTACTGGTATCGATGGACGGGTAGTTAATGTCTTGTCCGATATCTTTGCCAATGATATCAATCATATTTCTGGTAAGTATTGGCGGTGTAGTTGTCGTTGTCGGGGATGAGTCTACAGGACTGGCATTAAGTTTGGCGTAACATAACTGTCTCATCTGTTCATCAGTACATCTATTGATTGTCTTATTGTTGTTATTGTTTTCATCACCGGATGATGACCTGTGGATCACTTTCTTGTACTCGACGGCCGATTCGATGGCATTGATAAACGATTGGGTATTTCCGTCACTTTTTTTTTAAATATAACAAAACAAAAAACCAAAAAAAAAACATTAGTTTTTTTAATTAAAAAAAAACTTTTAAAAAAAATTTAGTTGAAAAATACCGTATCATTTGCAACACTAACGACTTTCGCCGGTTGTTTAATTGCAACGATAGTTTGATGTCCTGGTCTAAGATATTGTGCAACTGATTGCAAACACTGTAAATACTTGGCGACAACATGTCTAATATAGGGGGGGATCGGGATATATGTGTCTGACTGACTGTCTGTCCACACACACACACACAAAAAAGTTTGTAACACAAAATGTTTTAAATATATATATATATATAACAAAAGTTTTTTTTTATAACAACTATTATGAACTCATAGAAACACAAACTGAAAATACATTTGTTTTTTTTTTAAATAAATAAAGTGTTTATATATATAACTACTTTTCAATTGAACAAAAAATAATTTTGAACAGTTTTTTATTGTTTCATTTCATTACAAAATAATAATAATGATTATTATTATTAAACATTTTATTAAAAAGTTAGATTACAAGGTAACCGATGATTACAACTAAAACAAGGTTAGGACTTGTTATTAAAAACTTAGTGTCGATATTTGAAAATATTAAAAAAACAATTGTATGAATAAATTAATAATAATAAAGTTATGATAATATAGCAAATAATTAATAATTAGTTGTATATATTGATTGATAAATATATTTATATATATATATACAACTTGTTTATCATCAGTTAGAGAAAAAACTTGAACCCAAACCGCAAATAATATTAATATATATTAAACTAATACTTAAAAACTTATTATTATTATTATTATATTAATACTTATACTAATAATAACCACACCATCAGTCTCTGGGCTCAAACACCTCTCTCTCTCTCTCTCTCTCTCTCTCTCTCTCTCTCTCTCTCTCTCATACATACAGTAAACACTACAGTATATTAACACTAATTAGTTATTATTATTATTAGTAGTAATATTTTAGTTTTTAAAAATAAATTTTAAACTTATTTAAAATTTTTCCTAATAACTTGAAGCTCAAGGGAATGGTAGCAAACGTGATGATGAGGAGGAGGAGGGGTGACATTTAGTTAAAATTATTATTATTATTATTATTATTATTGATAAAAATAACTATATATTTATTGATAGATACCAATGAATATTATTATTAGTATTTATATATATATATATTATGTTATATAGTAGTAGTAGTGGTAGTAGTAGTAGTAGTTGTTTATCATTAGGTTGTCATTTGACTATAAGTTATCAATAAATACTAAATGTTTTTATCATTTAAAATTCAATATACAATTTAAAGTGCAATGTGTTTATATATATATATATATATATATATATATATATATATATAACTGATAATTATATTATAAATATATTATTATTATTATTTTGATAATAAATTAAAAATTTATGAATCACTTTTTAAATATTATTATAAGATAATAAAATATTTTTTTAATTAATGTTTTTATTATTTTTTTTATTAACTTAATTATTCAATATTTTATTATTATATAAATTGAGTTTAATAATAATAATTATTATTTTATATTTTAAATAAATTTAGGATTTTTTTTTATATATATAATATTACTGTACTTTTTAAAATTAACATTTTAAAGTAATAATAATTAAATAAATATTTACAATACTATTGATATATATATATATTTATATTAAATTTTTATTTTTGAGTCATTAAACGGAAATTGATTGCAACAAAAATATGTTATGAAAAAAATTTTAATTTTCAAAATCAAGGTTTTCTAAAAATAAAAATTAAAATAAATTTTTGATATCTAAATAGATTACTAATTGTTATGATTATTGTTATTATTAATAATAATAAATTCTATAAATATATATATAGAAATTAAATAATTTTGTTTTATTTAAAACTAATTTTTTTAAATTAGTTTTTTTTAGTTTCTCCTATTAATCTATATATAGATCAATAAAAAAATTAATATTTGATTTTTATTATAATTTGTTAATTGATTAATAAGTTTTACTAAATAAATAGTAATATTTTTGTTATTATTATTATTAGTAATAATTAAATATATATATATATATATATATATATAAATTATAAAATAATTATTTAATTTATATATATATATATATATATATATATATGTTTTCAATTGCCTTAAGAATTCAAATAATAATTATTTAGTTTTTTGTATATCAAAACAATGATTTTTTTAACCTAATATCATAATTATTTTATAATTATTTTTTTAAAAAATAAATGACTCATATTATTAGTAATATTTTTTTTAAAATTAGTTATTATTGATACTATTAAAAGATAAAAACTTATTATCATTAAAAATTAAACAACAAAAACTAAGTAATTATTAAATAAAATTTATTTAATTAATAAAACAATATAAACATGTTTATATTTTACATTTAAAAAAAACATTTTTTTTAAATTTTAAAATTTAACTTACATTTAATTGCTGAAAGTTATATTTATATGTAGACACCTAATACTTATATTAGTTTATATAACTTTTTAAATAATAAAATAATAGTTTTATAATAAAAGTTTAAAATTATGATTTTTCTAGATATAATAAATTTATTTAAAATACCCAATATTAAAAAACAATTACAATATTTTATTAATTAAAATCATATATACAGTATATATATTTATTAATTGTAATAAGTATAACAATTCAATAGTCTATCTGTATAATGTATAATATCTATTAATTTTTATTTTTTTTAGAAAAATATTTCACTAAAATATTGCAATCTAATTTCAATACAGAATATATATATATATATATATATATATATATATATATTATTTATAATATTATTTTATAAACAAAATTTTTTTACCATATCATGTAATTGTCATATCAATAAATCCATAAAATATTTACAAATATATACATAAAAAAATTATTTTATTTTAAAAAAAAATCATAATTAATGTTTTAGAAAATTACGATTAACTATCTATGATAAACATATTTTAAAAATAATTATGAAATTTGTAAAATAAAATTAATTTATAAATTAATTTATTAGCAATTAAACTGAAAACAAACTAAACCTATTTATAAGTATTAATTATTAAGAAAATTATTAATTAATTAATTAACTAACTAAACTAACTAATATATAAACTACATTTAAGCTATATATATTTTAAACTATAGTTAATATTAATTATTAGTTTATTTTAGAATTTTAATAAATTAGTACTAATTATTATTAACTTCAACAAAAAAAAAATAACTAGCAACATTATTATAAAATTATTAACAATATGTCTTAATTTTTAAAAATTGTTTTAATTAAATTAAATAAATCAAAATTATTAATTACTTATAGTAAAAGTAAATTATTATAGTACTGTATACTGTATATTATTAGTACAGTGTTGGCAGTGTTAAAAAAGTGTTAAAATATAATACTTCATATTATATTTTAAAAAATAGGCAAAATTACTAAAAAAAACCCTGTATTTTCCAACCCTGTACTGTAATACAGTGTAACGGTAAAGTATATATTTAAATCAAATCAAAAATAACATACGTAGAAATGTTATTGAATTTATTTTTAATTAATTAATTAATTATAAATTTTTTACTAAAATATTTCAATCCTATTAATCAAAAAAAAAAGTTATTACAGACACACAAAAAACTTATTGGTAGTCAATAAGTCTTTATATACAATATATATTGATTAAAATACTTGCATACTGTATATAACTATTATTTAGTTAATATTATTTTAAATCAATTAATAATTAATTCACCATGGTGCTAGTTATAACTTTTATTATAACTGTATTTTATTATTTGTCATTAATTACACCGCCAGCTGATTGTGATTCTACAATACCTTTTTAGTAATTAATTATTAACTATTACTATTACTATTACTATTACTATTACTATTACTATTACTATTACTATTACTATTACTATTACTATTACTATTACTATTACTATTACTATTACTATTACTATTACTATTACTATTACTATTACTATTACTATTACTATTACTATTACTATTACTATTACTATTACTATTACTATTACTATTACTATTACTATTACTATTACTATTACTATTACTATTACTATTACTATTACTATTACTATTACTATTACTATTACTATTACTATTACTATTACTATTACTATTACTATTACTATTACTATTACTATTACTATTACTATTACTATTTATTACAATTTATTTTTTAGTAATGGACCGCAAACAGTCTATATACAACTAATCAATGGTAAAACAATTGAAATATCAATTGACGTTATAAAAGGGACAGTTGGCGACGCTAAACAATTAATTCACGATAAACAGGGTATACCTATTAAGGTTATCCGATTGTTTTATAATAACAAACCAATGGACAATGATAAAACCCTGATTGGTAAATATGGTATTACAAAAAAATCGACAATTAAATTAGTTGTAAATAAAAAAAATTAACTAGTGTCTAATTTAATTTAATTATTAGTATTATTATTGTACAACTTAATAATAATTAAAATACATTTTTAACAACAAAAAAAAGTAAATAATAATATATTATTTTATATTAATAATTATATTTTATGACTAAATTAATGTTTTTTTTTTTTTTAAAAATGTTGTTTTACAATGAATGTTATGTTAATGTTATTACATTGTTTTTAATTAACTATAATTAATTATTGTATAATATTTTTTTTAAAAAAAACAATTATTTCTATTTTTGCTAAATTAATAAATTTTTTATTTATAAATTACTGACAATAAATATAAACAATAAAATAGTTGTAAAAATCTTCTTATAGAAAACTTTATATATTTTTTAAATAATTTTTTAAATATTATATTACTTGTTATTACATAATATTAAGTATTTCTATATTTTAATATTTTTTTATTTTGTTTATTGCATAATAACTTTATAAACTTAGTTTTCGGAATTTTTTTTTTAAAAATGTAATTTGATTCATAGTATTTTATGTTGAAATTTTTAATTTCTAAAAAAAACTAATAAAATTTATTAATTTTTTTGCGTCAATAGTAAGTGATTGACAAAAAAAAACGAGAAATTTCTTGAAAAAAAATTTCCAGAAAAACTAATTTATTTAATTATTATTATTATTACTTATTATATTATCAATGATATAATTTTATAATATATATTTTTAAAAACAATAATTTACTGAAAAAGAT